CTCCTGTTTTCAGCCTCCCCAGTGCTGGGATTACAGGCGTGCGCCACCATGCCCAGACTCCATTGCCAGCTCATTGTGCCCCAGGGGCCGGGCCAGGGTGCCCTGCAGAACCGGGGATCGAACCCAGGTCCCTGCACTTGCCAAAGCACGTGCTTAGCCTGTTGAGCTATCTCACTAGCTCTCAGGAAGTGATTTTGAAGTGAGGTGTCCAGTTGCCTAGGGAAAGGCTGTCCGTGACCAGCTACCCTAGAGTTGAATAAAAATGGCACGAGAAAAACCAGACCAGGGAGCGTGCCAGGTGCTTCCCTCTTGCCTTCCACCCACAGAGGGGCTGCTTTTGGTAACTGCTACTCCTGCCCTGAGCGCAGGAACCAACGGGTATACCCCGAGTTCCACAGAACAGGAGCAAAAGCATCGGCAGACAGGCCGAGCCCAGTCTGGAGAATAATTTCAGATGAACGCAGCAGCGGAGCAGGTTCCCTTGCCTCGAGGAGGAGTCACCGCCCAGTGCGCCCAATGCGAAGTGCTGAAAGTATCCTGCTGTGCCCGTGGGGGGGGGGGGGCCCAGTGCCCCCTCCCTGTTGTCTGCTGTCCACACAGCTTCTCCCTTGCCTTGCATGTGGAAGGCATCCTGATAATAACTGTCATTTCTAGGACTTGGTGACGGTATGATTTTGTGTAAGGGCCAAAGCAGAGCTGAGTCCTGTCCCGCACACCGCACACCTGTGTCGCCTCTGTCCCCAACCCTGGTGGTGGGAGGGGAGCGGGGGATTCCAAAGCTCTTTGCAGCCTCAGAGTGGAGCGACCATGTCTCTGTCACCCTCTGTGGAACTTTGGGAAGGGGCAAAAATCAAGCCAGGTAAGGTGAAGCAAGTTTAGTGGACACAAACATTTTATTTATTTATTTTTAAATCTTTCATGTATTTGGTACAGGGTCTCATTTTGCAGCTCAAACTCATAGTGATCCTCCTGTCTCGGCCTCCCTAGTGCTGAGATTACAGGTGTGCGCCACCACAACCTGTTTCTGTGGTCAGCTCTGCTTGGGGCCGGCACGGCATGCAGTGCTTGGGATCGAACCCAGGTCCTTGCACTTGCCAGGCAGGCACTTAGACCACAGAGCTATCTCCCCAGCCCAGACAAACATTTTAATGGAGTGTAAATTTTAACTTATTCACAAGGGGGGGGTGATTTTATATACACTATGTAAAGTTATATTGACTGTGTGTCCTATAACGATAATATATATATATATATATATATATATATATATATATATATATATTCAGAGAATAATTTCTTTTAAAACCTCTGGGTGGACAGGCAAGCAGGGTTGATTAAAGGTGGATTTTAATTAAAGGGAGCTGCAGACTCTTGAGTGAGCTCTCCAGCCAAGCCTGAGGTTTTTTTCTTTTCATGTAACTCCTTTGCCACGTAGCTCTAACAGTGATTGTTGTCATTTTTTAATCTAAGAAATTATTCCCTTTGGGGAGCCATCCCAAAGGCCAGCTATTCCATGGCAGTTAGAAACTACAGAAAACACTTTGCACCAGGAGTAGATTGCTCAGTGCCTGGGCACACGAACACCTTCCCCTTTCTTCTCCCTGTTGCATCCTCCAGGAATTCACCCTCCCTCCCTCCCCCATTACTGAGGACAGTGCCCTGCTGAGAGGGAGACTCTGACTTGCTGGGTCGGTTGTAGCCCCTGTGAGTGTGGAGCCAGGCAGCCAGGCAGCTTCCTCCCTGGTTCCCCAGGGTAGGAGGGAGTAAAGACGCCAAGTGAGTGACAGCAGTGAATGGCCAAGAGGAGCTCAGCCGTGGGTGTGTTCACTGCGCTCTTGGGGACAGGAAGACCTGTTTGGAGGCCAGGTTGAACTTATTTGAGCCCCCCCGTCCGGTGTTGGGCCACCCTGGGCAGCACTGAGCCCCCCAGCCCCAGGGTCACAGCCTCTCCTCCTGTTTAAGAGAGGAGCCTATTGTCCCACGCTAACATAGGGACAGACTCAGACAAGGCACTGGCAGACAGTGCTGGGCAGATGATGCTGTTGGAAATGCCGCTGTCACACCCTTGCATTCTTACATCACAAAGGAGCCAGATTTCTAAGGAGACCCTGGGACCCCACTCCAGCTGGTTCAGAATCAGCGGGAGGTGTAGACAGCTGGGGCTCCAGCTCTTCCACCCATACTGAACACTTGCGAAGCGACTGCTTGGACTCGCTCTGCCCTCCTCGCCTGAGTGAGTGACCCTGGTTCCTGCCAGGGGCGCGCTGGGGACTGCACTGGAACAGACAGATCTGGTAGCAAATGGATTCACTGTGCAGTACAATCCCTGTCACCACCAGGGACTCTTCGGGGATGGAGATGGACTCTTCCTGCAGGTGTGAGGAGGGAATGCTGCTGCTAGAGACTCCGAGGGGCCATCGAGGGGCCTTGATGGCCCCTCCGTGGTGGCCTTGAACCCAGACAGAGGCAGCAGGGATGGAGGAGGATGAGGGAGGTCATTGGGTGCCCATGCATCATCAGGAAGTTTGTCTTGGGTATTGTGACATTTGGGGACAGAAATATAGAAGGGACTGCTGGGGTGGGGAAGGGGAGTTTGGTCTGACGGGTTGGATTTGAGGGGTAGCAGGATACCAGGGGATGGATGGCATATCAGTGACCAGAAGAATAGGTCTGGAATCTAAAACACAGCGGGGTCTGAAGGACTCGGTCTCCAGGGCCACCTGTAATTGGTAGTGGGGCCTCCCTGGAGGTGTGTGAAGGGGTAGGACCGAGGGCCACTCAGGCTGCAAGAGGCACACGCACCCAGTGACATGAGCACTGTGCCCTGAGCCCCACCCATGGGTCAAGAGTGTGGAAAGCAGGGACTCTCCCCAGTGCCAGCAGCATGTCACAGACATGAATGCTGTCCCCTGGAATTGACCACCAGTTGGCCACGGCCACTACAATGAGAAGAAGGTTTCAGGACAAAGCAAGGGGACAGGTGCAGAAAGCCACAAACCAGGAGTGCGGTCGCGTGAGCAGGCCGTCGGTGTGTGATCAGGTGTCTCAAGTGTTGGGTAGAAAGGGGAGATGAGGCTGATTAGTGGCATAGGTCTTCCAGCACGCATGCGCTCCGACCCCTCGGCCTTTCTTTCCACCTCTCTCCCAAGTGTGAAGTGTCTCTGTCTCTGTCTCTCTCTGTCTCTCTCTCTCTCTCTCTCTCTCTCTCTCTCTCTCTCTCACGCACGCACGCATGCACGCACACACACACGAGAGTTTCACTTGCTCCAGTGCATTCACCCTGTTTCCAGGCTGCTCTGGAAGGCTGAGCTTTTGCTTCAGATGCACCGAGACCTGCTCCTCGAGACAGGCCTGGAACCGGAGTTAAACTAAACAGCATTAGCAATCAGTATTTCCAGCATGCCAAGATCTGATAATAGTACGGTGCACCCTGTACGTTTTTAAAGCTTTGCATATGTCCACACACCCATGCCCGACTGCAGCCTCCTAATGTAGCCCAGACAGCTGCCTGTTCTGAGGGGAGGACACACTCCAGTGTCACATCTGGGCCCCTGTTGACTGTCCTTTCTGTGCCTCATGCTGTTCACTGCCTCTCTTTTTCTGAATTCCTTCTTTCCTGTCCCTAGAGCTTCCCTCCTGGCAACATGGGGGAGGGGGGGTCCCAGGGATGGTGAGAATTTTAGGGTGAAGAAGAGGACTTGCTTGTTCTGTGTCCCCTGGTCTGGCTCAAGGTCGCGCTTGGCAGCTGTTGGTGAGTGAGAGCAGAAGGGAGAAAGCAGGCTTAAGTCACCAAAGAGTCCTGTTATTGCTGGGAAGCACGAGGCCACAGACATGTCACACCACGTGCTGCCGTCACTGTGCCGGAGCCCTCTTTTCCAAATGTCTTGTTATGGTCACAGGTCAAGGAAAAACCTCAAACCAGCTTCCTCCAAGACCCAAGAAAGCCAGGCCAGGCAGGACCAGGGGATGCTGTCCCTCCTACCTGTTCCCTGAGTGGTCTGGGTGGCAAGCGTGGACCACATTCCCGCTGTCTGCTTTCACATGAACCTCTTGCTCGGCCACGTTAGCTACTAGACATCTTCATTTCTCCTCTTTGCATTTCTCATGTAGGATTATATTTCTGGTACAGAGGATCAATAGAGACGTCTCAATGTGGAGAATTAATTCCCGCAGCCAGGCACACGGGCTGGGCTGAGTCCACTGGGGCCTCTGTTGCTTCTTAGGCTGGGCCCTCAGGCTCAGCTGAGGAGTTCATGTTGCAGAGGCAGGAAATGAGGCCTGCCGGTCCTGGTGCCACCCCGTGAATGCTGGCCTGGGGAGGCATCTGCTTAGCTGGCTGGAACCCAAGTGTCTTCTGGAGATAGCAGCAGGAAGTCACAGGGAAAAAGCTAAAGCAGAACCGCTCTGCTTGGCTCCTGGGAAATCCCACTGCACAGTGAGCATCCGGCATTATTTATTTCATCGGTGGTTGCTTTTTTGTCTGTGGTTCCACTAATAAGTAAGGTCAGATCTGGGCGGAGGGCCTGCGTGTGCTTCCAGGGGACGGCAATAGCTCCTAGCACGACCCACGTCTCCTCTGTCACCATGAACGACAGAAGCCTCCTTGTGCTGGGATGGGGGTGGGTAATGGCCTCCGACATTCATTTGCCCTCCTCAGTGATGGTGGCTGGCTGAGATGGCCTGGCAGGGACACGTGTGCCCCCAGCTTAGCTCCTGCCCTCGACAGACACGGGCTGCACAGGCCTGGTGTGAGGTAGGCACCACAGGTGGGAGCCGGGTGCCTCAGGTGACACACAGTGGGGTCCAGAGGTATGGCAGGGCTGTCTAGACACAGGCCAAAGTCAAGGACGCCTACCTGCCTCACCCCTGGGCCGAGCTGCCCCTGCCACATTTGGCAGGACGGAAGAAGACTGTCTACAACGGTCTCCCAAAAGGCAAATGAGAGCTAGGTATGGGGGCGCACACATGTAATCCCAGCACTGGGGAGGCTGAGGCAGGAGGATCACCATGAGTTCAAGCCTCTCTTGGGCTACCTATTGAGCTCGAGGCCAGCCTGGACTCCACAATGAGACCCTGTCTCAGATGCATGTGCACACGCACGCACACATTGCAGATGACCTTTGCGTAATGTGGGCTGAACAGTGGCTCTGGCCATGTTGGGACACTTTTGCTGGCTAATTAGAACTGCACCCCCTTCATCCAGCCTTCGTGTCAGTTGGGCTAAAGGCTCCACTGCAGACCCTCCCCAGTCAGCGCAGGCTCCTGCCAGCGCTAGGTGTGGCTGCTGGTACCCCCTGCCGCTCAGAGCTGGCACACCGTGCCCACGGCCGCACCACTCATTTCCTCTCGGTGGAGTCCCAGGAAAGGCTTGGGTGTGGAAGCCACTGTCCTAGGGTCTGTGTTCCCCAACATCCCTGGGAAAGCAGGATCCCGGGAATGGTTCGTTCTTCAGTGTCATCAAGCTTTTAAAATTATGGCTTTGGCTGGGGAGATAGTTCCGTGGTCTAAGCGCCTGCCTGGCAAGTGTAAGGACCCAAGTTTGATCCCCAGTCCTGCATGTCATGCAGGCTCCACACTGAGCTGGCCACCAAAACTGGGCATGGTGGTACATGCCTGTAATCCCAGTGCTAGGGAGGCTGAAACAAGAGGATTGCTGAGTCTGAGCTGCATAGTGAGACCCTGTACCAAATCCATAAATAAAATAAAATAAAAATAAAATTGTGGCCTTGCTATTCAGAGCTCTCCCATGATAGACTACTTCATTAATCAAGACCCAGTGGATAGCATCCTTCCTGTCCCAGGAAGACCTGGGCCTGCGAGGGGGTGGGGCGGTGTCACAGGGCCACAGAGGGCTCTATCAGCAAGCCAGGGACGACCCTAGCCTGACCCTTGCTCCACTGAACCCCTGGCCTGTCCAGACCTGTCATTCCTAGCAGAATCAACTTGCATCTTTTGACCAATAAGTAAGGCCTTGTATATCAAACTGTGTGTGTAGAAGATCCAGTTTTATCATATAGTATATAAAGATGTACATATAGTCCATACAGGTGTGATCCAAAAGGCAATGTTTAAATTGCAAAATGTAGTACAGTAAAAGATATGTTTCTGTTAATCCCCCCAGAACCCTCCCCTTGCTTCAAACACACTTGTCCCACCACTCTTGTCACATCTGCAGTGGCTCTGGCGTCCTCTTTCCTGAGTGTCATTAGTTGCACTGTGCTGACTGCCTCCGTGTCCTGAGTTGATTTAAAATGCTTCCCTTTCGGGACACTTTGCTTTTGAGGAAGAGCCAGGTGTGACCTGGTACCAGATCCTACGAATAAGGAGGAGGAGGATGCAGCATCAGATGGATGCTTTACAAGGCTGCCTTTCTGTTGGGTGGCGCTCGGCAGCAGCCCTGGTGCTTTGATCATACCTCAGAAAGAAATTCGGGAAAGAGGACCCCAGAGCTGCTGCAGGAAATGGCGAGCACGTGGGATGGGCGTTCGCAGCCAGGGGAGGATTTCGGGGACAATGCATTGCAGTGTCTTTTACTGTAACACACGTTTTAAATTTCACGGTATACTTTGATCACACCCCAGATAATTACACATTCTGCTATAATATTACATTGAATATATTCCCTCCAGAATTATCCTTTAAAACTCACTTCCCTGCTAAAAAAAAAAAACTCCCCTACTTCCCAGTCTCATTTAGAATAAATTCTAACATTCCAGCCTCTGAGATTGGGCTGTGGACTCCATCTTCCCCTCAGCTCTGCTCCACCAGAGCATCCCTGCTGGGCCCCGCCCACCCCAGAGCCTGTGCCCTCGCACCCTGGAGGTCCTGGTCCCCTGGGATCTCCTGTATGCCACTCACCCTGGACCCCTCAGGGCCTCGTAGCTTCTGCCTTAACACCTTTCCCTCCTCCAGGTAGGCTGTGGACTCTCTAAGGACCTCCACAGGGCGCGCCCCCAGAGGCTCCAGCTGCCTCCCTTAAGGTCGTGAGCCTCACCAGACTTCTTAAACTGTCCAAGCAGCACAGAACATAATGACCAGCAGGGACCTGCAGCTTTACAGCTGCCCCAGACCAAGGGGCTACCCTTGTCATCCTTGTGCACAGGGAAACAGAGGTTCACTCCTTCACCCAAGGTCATATAGCAGGGCCAGAATTCAAACCTGGGCCCTGGAGCCTGTGCCCGTATCCCCACCCTGCGCTGAGCAAAGGTGTGTGTGACCTGGTTCCTTTCTTGGGATCAAAGCAGGAGCAAGACAGCCATGCACTGAGCCCAGGTTGTTACCATTATTGTGAATGTAACCTAAGAAGTGTCTTTTACCAGTGAGCCTGGTGGCAGGCACCTGTAAACATAGGACTCTGGGAGAGAGAGGCAATGGGGCGGTCCCAGGTGATTAGGCTCTCACTAGGCAAATCCACTTCCCAAGTTTTCTGCTGGGCTGATGTTACCAGAAGTATCCAGGGGCCGCTTTTCTGGGGGACGCCTTGACAGGGGGCAGGGAGCAGCTGAGCCGGGCCCTTCCCCAACCTCATGGTCTCTTCTCCCCACAGGACATCATCGAGGGGGGCAGCCTGCGCGCCCCACTGCAGGAGCTGCACCAGATGATCCTGACCCCCATCAAGGCCTACAGCCCCCCGAGCACCACCCCCGAGGCACGCCGCCGGGAGCCCCCGCTGCTGGGCCCGGAGAACCCAAGCCCCGACAGCAAGGACACAACAGGCACTGTGGCTACCAGCGCCTCGGCCAGTGCCACAGCTGGGGCCAGTGGCGGGCTGCAGCCGCACCAGCTGAGCAGCTGTGATGGGGAGCTGGCTGTAGCACCCCTGCCTGAGGGGGACCTTCCTGGGCAGTTCACACGTGTCATGGGGAAAGGTGGGTTCTCCGCCTGGCACTGCTGGGCACCTCTGGGCATGGGGTAAACACACTTATTTGCAGGCAGGAGGGCACTTGGGTTGGGACTCACTCCAGCCTCTCTGAGCCCTCCACTGGGGGACCCAGGTCCCGGCCAAGATGGGCCTGGGGGAGCAAGTAGGTGGAGGAAACTGAGGACAGGGTCCTTCCCCAGCCACTGATGCCTGTCCCAAGTAAGGGGTCAGAGGGAGCACCACTGCCCACCCAGCCATGTGTCCACAACTTCCCTGTAGGCTCTATCTGCATGCAGAGCACTCTGGCGCTGGGAGCTCTGGTTATTTAGCAACTCCAGTGTGCAGCACCATGCTTCAGCTGGACAGCATGCAAGGGTGTCTCAGGAGCCTATACACGTCCTGCCTCAGGCCTGCTCCCCCACTGTCCCCACCTGGGCCCTCCTCCCGCACAGGAAGCCCTAAGGGTATCCTACCTGAGTGGTGCTGCTTGGTGGCTCTTGCTTTGGAACATGCTCATACAGTGCCCAACCTGTACCTCTGCAGTGTGACAGCCTTGCCGAGAGCTCCCCTTGCTTTACCTGCTTTTTGGCCTGTGTCAAGCACACTGGTCCTCCAAGTGTCAGTACAGTCCTCACCGAGGCTGGTAGAGCTGCCTGATCCCAGACTGTGTGCGGTATCCTCCCAAAGCCCTTCTCTGCCCAGGTCACACTGGATTGCAGCCATCCTGGGGTCTTTCCGCTCCCCATTCACTGCCAGCTCCACCAGCCACTTTTCAGGGCCTGGCTGGTGGCAGGAGTCTGCTCCATGCTCAGTGATGTCCCGTAGTGGGGGACAGCAGGCATGTAGCCTATGAGAATCACCTCACAGCCATCAATACCTGTGTGGCCCTCAGGGTGTCGGTGCCCTTGCTGCCTGGCCTGGCCTTTGCCTCCTATGCCCACCCCATGTCTGGCTTCCTGAAAATGTCCAACACTAGAATATTGTGCTTGATGGAGTATTTTGCCAGAAATCTTACGTTATTTTACACCCATGGACAGCACTAGTAACTTTTCATCTGGAAAGCAAACATTTCTTGTCCAGTATTCTAGACCATTTAAAGAATCAAGCTTTCATCAAAAGAAATGGGCAACAAAGCATGGTGATGTGGCCTGTAATCACAGCATTTGGGAGGCTGAGGCAGGAGGATTGTGAGTTCAGGATCAGCCTGGACTACCTCATAAGTCCAAGGCCAGCCTGAAGTGCATAGCAAAACCTTATCAGAAAGAAAGAAAGAAAGAAAAAAAAAAAAGAAAGAAAGAAAGAGAAAGGAAGGAAAAGAAAAGGAGAGAAAGAGGAAAGAAAGAAAAGGAAAAGAAAGGGAGGGAAGGAAAGAAAAAAGAAAAGGAAGGAGACATCTGAGCCTCAGAGTCATAGGGTGAAACCCTCCACCCCATAACTCTGCACAAGACTGAACTCCTAAAGATCCAGCTAGGAAGGAGAGGGCTCCTAGCTTGCCTGGGGACAGAATGGTAAGAGCAGAACCTTGGTCTCCCCACAGGTGACCTGGCTGAACATGGGCTAGTGGCCCTTCCCAAGGTGGACCCTGCCTTTCCAGGGCAGCCATGGTTAAGGTGGTCGGGTCTCCCCCATCAAGGGACATACAGGTGGTTCTGAGTTCTTGTTGTTACGATCTGTGCTGTACTGACCACCTTCGTCCAGAGACAGAAGAGGGCTCTGAACCTTCTTAGGGAAAGGCAGGAGCCCTGATGCGATGCCCCGCTTGGTCTGCTTGGGGCACCAGACTAGATGCCTACTTGGCTTCTTTTGTGACCCCACCTGTGTGGGCCTTGTAACCACCACCCCAGGAGTAGGAGCTGGAGGCCAGAGCGGCCCCGCATGTGGCCATGCAAACCCCACACCTGTGTCCTCCTGCACACCTAGCTTTCCTCAAGGGGGTAAGGTATTCATGAGCACAGCCCTCTGAACACGTCACCCTGCACTGTTGGAGTATCAGGTTTCCCACGCTGCCTACACGCCTGGCAGCCTGGCACCCCGCTGGCCGCGTGCCTGGGTCACAGATGCCACCCCCCACCAGCTGGGAGGCATGCGCCTGCTTCATTAAATGGTGGGGGCTGCGCACCTGCAGTAGCCCAGGTTCGGCTTGGATGCCCTGGAAGAGCTGTTGTCCAGCCAGAGCTCGCGTCTCCAGCTCTTCCTCTTCTGGTGTCTGTCAGGGCTTAATATAGAGTGGAATGACAGGAATGAACCCCACAGGCTCCTGGGCAGGGCTCCTGCAGTGACCACGCCTTGACTTCAGTGGAAGGAGGAGTCTCTGGGCCTTTTTCGGGGCCTTCCATAAAGTCCTCAGAGGAAACGCAGCCTAGGTTTGCATCGGTTTGCATTTTCTAACCTCCGTCCCCCTCCCTCTGCAGTGTGCACCCAGCTCTTGGTCTCCAGACCTGATGAGGAGAACATAAGTTCCTACCTCCAGCTCATAGACAAGTGTCTCATCCACGAGGTGAGTCGGGACCGGCTTTACTGCACTGTTTTCTCCCTGCCTAGCAACGCTTCCCTGAGTTCTGTGATGTGACCGCTTGGGCTCCCACAGTCAAATAAGAGCTCGGGCAGAACCAGCCAGTGGCAGCCTCCAACCTAGAGGTTACCTCGGGGTCCCACACCCGCAGCTCCAGTGTTGGGGGCCTGGGGACACTGCAACTGCAGGGCCACCGAGCGGTTCCCTCTAGGCTGAAGGGATTCACACATGGCGCTGCCACCCTGTCCTGGGCATTGCCAGGGGTTTTTAGCCCCAAGTGTTGAAACATTTTGTCTTTTAGTTCTGGAAATGGCAGGAAGAACGTGCACAAAAGGAACTGTGAACAGTTTGATAAAATCCATGGGTTCTATCAGAACAAGATTTGCCATGTGTTCCTTTGAAGAGGACCAAGGCAGCCCAGGGTGGTACCTGGCAAAACCTCGGTGCACGGCCCAGAGCTGGGCACAGCTGGGCTGCTGGTGGGGCCTCAGTCTAGGGTTCCTTGGGCACATACAGAGACAGGTCTGTCCCTGGCCTGGTGGACCGGCATGCACCTCCCTTGGGCCCCTTCCCTCTGCTGTCATCCTGAGTGTGCCTGGTCACCAAAGTACTTTGTCACCTTGAGGTGAGCACAGTGACCAGCTGCTGGTGCAGAGCTCAGACCAGCTGCCTTCTGAAATACTCAACTGTTCCAAAGTCTTGGCTTTTTCACTGAAAAAAAAAATAAGTGTCATCTTGCCAATGCTTGCCCCAGAGCATCCCAGTGCCATCTTGGGGTCCCCAAAGCCTTCGATGAGGGGCTTGTGGGTGCATTTACTTCAGGCAGTGCTGAGGCCCCTTCCCGCAGGCCCAGTCCAGCCCAACAGGTCCAGTCATGATGCTGCCTGTGTGGGGGCTACACCAAGGTGACAGAGAGAGGCCAGTGCTTGCAGAGGGAGGCCACCATCCCTTCCTGCTGTAGATACTGAGGTGTTTATTGAGCAGCTCCAGGAAGAGCTACCTGGGACCTGCAGTTCCTCCCACGCCTGCTGTCTGTACCAGGCCCAGATACGGGGGACGACGCATTTGCTACCACCCCTCAAGTCATCTCGGTCCTCCTGGGGCCTCCGTTGAACAGGCCAGGCCCCAGGGGTTGACACCAGCACGGAGCACGGGCTGCAGGTGGCTTCTCACTTCCTGGCACCTGCACATGCTCCCTGGACACCTGGTCCTGTGTCTCCCCATGGCCTCCCTGGCAGCCCCAAGTGACTCAGTCCAAAGGCAGCCCTCGTTCCTCACCAGCTGCTTGCTGGAGGGCAGGAAGGAGCTCGTGAGCAGTCTGCTACCTGTGTTCATGTTAGGGGTCTGTGCTTGGCCCTGGAACGGAAGAGCAGAAGAGCCCATGGGCAGAATGCAGCCACCTGGGCGAGGAGCCTCATGGCCTCGTTCCTGGCTGAGGCTGGCCAGGCACACAGGGCTGCCTTTCACAGCTGGCCGAGGCAAAGGTGTTGACTGACCAGGAATCTCCCTTCCTCTCAGAGATGAAGGTACTGCCCCTGAGAGTGGCCTGGGAGGACGGGAAAGCCCTCATCCCTGTGTCCTCTGAGACCAGCCGCTGGGATTCCTGGATGAAAACTCCAGGCTTTTCGCTCCTCGCAGCTGAGGTGTCTGTGGGAAGTGGGTTCTTGCCCGCTTTGTGGGCCTTCTCCTCAGCACAGGCACTGCAGGAGACATGGTGGTGTCTTCCCCCAGGCCGACTGTGGGTCTGGGCCTCGTGGGGACACTGGACGTGGAACTGGCTGGCTGGTTGTGTCTGGAGAGCCCACAGCTGACTCAGGGCTGCCAGTGGAGGGGCTGTTGTCAGGTGGTAGGTGCCATGGCCGTTAGCAGCCGCCCAGAAAGGAACACAGCTCTGGAGACAGAAGCCAGCTCCCAGAAGTCCCTGGGCCTGGCCACAGCTCAGCTGCAGAGGAAAGCTGGCCACCTCACTCGCTGAGCTGAGCTAAGGTCCCCAATCTGATTCAATGCAGCCTGGTACCTGTGGCGCCCTGTCCACTGGTCTGTCTGTGGAGCCATTCCCTCTCATGCTGGCCACCACAGGGAGGTCATACATGTTATGACATCCTTGGAAGGACATCTGTGACGTGCGTGAGCCATTTTCTCCCTTGTCACCTGGAAACGCAAGCCAGTTGCCCTGGTTGGCTCCACACAGGCTCGCTCTTGTAATACTGAGACTGTGAAGTCATTTGCTTTGTGCTGCTCTTGGGGCTGAAGGTCGCCGATAAACACCACGTGTGAGAAGCGGGCGCAGAGCACGCCAGAGGGCAGTGGGCTGGGGCACCTAGGAGCAGCGTGTATGACACCATTGCTAGTTGTGTGTTGTAAGTACACTCGGTGCTTTGTGCGGTGTCTCGTGTCACCTGCATCACACCCAGGTTGCAGGAGGAGTGCAGGGATTGAAGCCCTCCCCAGG